AGGCATATGGGGTTTTGGTCATTCTGGTGGCCCCAGACTGGCCTTGTCGTCCCGGTACACTGCTGTGATGCGACTGGTCTCGACTGTGCTTTGGCGACTGCGCCAATGGAAAGATAATCTGTCCTTAGAGATATTTTCCACCTTGCTCTACCACCACTGGCTTGATGGTTTGGCGGTTACAATCCAGGTTCTGAGAGACTAGGGTTGCCAGACTCTGTGATTCTTACCATGCTGAAGGCCTGTATATCTACCTCCTGGGAAGATTTTTTTTTTTTTTTTTTTTTTTTTTTAGCTCTTGGAAGCCTGACCTTTCATAGTGTGATGCTGCAGGGCTACTGTGTGTTCCTTCTTGGTGGCTCGGACTTTAGCTTTTCCACTATGGATTTGTCAAAAAAACTTGCCTTAAGTACTCTTTAAGAGTCATATTTCTGCCACATGATTTTTTGCCTTCTCACTCCTAGATTCATACCCTTATCCAAGGACACTTTGGGACCTGAGCTTGGCTCTTCCAGTCCTTCAGAAGTTTCAGTTTGAGAATATTAGTGATACTCCTTTTGTCCATACTCTTCTGGAAGGTTGCCTTCTTGGTTGTTATATCCTTGGTGTCCAAGTGTCGGAGCTAGCTACCTTCTCCTGTAGGTTCCCCTCCCTGATTCTGCCCAGGGGTATGACGGTTCTCTTTTGGTGCCCCTCCTTCCTGTAAAAGATAATATCTGATTTTCACCTGTACAAGAACTTTGTTCTTTCTTCCTTTCTTGTGTCCTTGTACATCACACCCTTTGGAGGTTGTGCTACACTCCTTGGGTGTGGTTTGGCCAGTTTGTATGTACCTGTCTGCTATGGTTTCCTTCTGGAGGATGGACGTTCTGTGTGTTTTTGCGGATAGACCATAAAAGAAAAAAATAAAAAGCCTGGTGGCTTCCTCTGCTGCCGGTTTCTCACTGGATGAGGCTTATGATTGTTCAGACTTATGACATCAGGAGTCGGGTTCCTCCCTTCCACATTGTGGCACACTCTGCCTGGGCACTTAGTGCCTTATGGGAGTTCTGCAATCGGGCGCAGGCTGCTGTTTGAAGTTCCTTTGGGGGTGTTTTTAGGTGGTTTACCTGTTTTCTTTTTGTTTCCTTCCCATCACTCGTTGAATCACTGCTTTGGGATGTCCCAGTGGTAAAGACTGAAAATCCTTTTCTCTGAGTTTCTTAACGGACAGAACCTGCCAATCCTGTGAGTAACACAAATCACATTTTTCCATTTTGAATACTTAAGTGTGTGACAATACATCGTCAAGAGATCACAGGGATAACGAAGATAGGCAAAATAATTCTACAGGTTTCAGAATGAGCCAATTTAAGCAGTATTAAACCCAAAAGCAAACATTTATTTTATTGGAGCTTAATTCTTAGATGTGATGGCTGTATTCATTTACTTTTTTTTTAGGCTTTTTTTCCCCTTATAATTTCATCTGGCGATCCAGCCTGAAAGTCTGTTTTTGTTTTTTAAAAGGAACACGCTCTTCAGAATACATTTGTTATAGATGAGACAAACCATTTAACACAAGCAGTGGTGGTTACAATCATTAGTTTTTATTTATGTATGTAAAAACTTTATCCCAAAGGGAAAAAAAAACTGTTTTCTGTAACTGCTTATAAAGTATTCGCTGAAGTTTGGCTTTAGTTTAGTTAGTGTTTCTAGTCCATCTAACACTCCCCTCCCCCAGACTGATAATGCTGCTGTTCAGATGTGCCCATGTGCTCCTTCATCCAGAGTAAGGTAACTGTAATACAGGAGGTTTGTTAGTTGCCAGATCACCAGGTGAAAATAAAACTGATGTAGTTACCACATCTAATGATTGATTGATAAGCTGCAATATTTTACCTTTTTTGGTTTTGTGTTGAATACTACTCTAACATCTGTGCAGAAGCCTTGTAGCAAACATAATATCTGTATTTTTCTAGAGTGCAGTTGTCCGTCTAGGCAGAGTCATTTGCCTAAAGCTAAAATACTTCTTTTTGTTGGTATAAATTGTGACTAATGTGTTAATCCAAACTTGTAAAAATCACTGACAGATCAACTTCAAAGACAGTCTTGTTACAACTAGAATACTTCTGTAAAGAGAGCTGTGATGTCGGCACTCATGTCTGGAAAATGGCGGTATGACACTATCTTTGAATGAGGTTTTTAATGCTGGCATTTTTAGCAGTTTATGAAAACAGAAAACAATTGGATTTGGGTATCCTTGTATAACTCTGATAATACATGAGTGTCTCTGTGCTTGGTGATGTATTCCTGTAAAAGACCAGCAGACTCATTGCAGCAAACTGTTTCACTGCAGCCATCATCTTTCCTCAACTGAGGTTTCAACAGTTTACAAATGACTACCAGAAATACATTGAGGGACATTTATCAAGCAAATTAGTGACACAATTAGTCACAAATCAGGTTGAATAACCTTTAGCAAGGTCTGAGTTTACAGACTTGTCCATCTGTATTCCTTTGCAACTGTGTTCTGAGACCGCTTTATTACTAAATATGAGATGGATTTCCACTCTGAACAGATGGATAAATCTGTTCAGTATAAATCATTTTTTATGAGGGCACTCATGCGGGCTCGCTCCCAAGCTGTGTTCTGTGTGTCCATTGACACACACAGTACTGCACGGCCCCACACCCTCCTCCCCAGAGAGAGAGCAGCGATGCAGCTCTCATGCACATCGCTGGATAGAGATTCAGCTCCGGTAAATATAAGGGGGAGCTGCACACAAAACCTTCTGTCTTTAAGCTGTCCATACATTGTACAATTTTCTTGTTCAGTTTCCTTTAGATTTATCTTCAGCTATTTAGTGCAAGGGCCTGCCTGACTGCATACAAATTGAAAGTGTTTAGGTTTGATCTCATATAATATGGTTTTGGTAAATCTAAAGGGAAATTGTATAATGTATGGCCAGCCTTAGAACTGCTTTCATTCTTCACCATGAGATTTTAGAGCAGCCATAGGAGGATTTGGATTATAACTGTCCCCCATTGTTTCAAAGTATCTCCTCAGTTGTAGGTAGCAATATAATGTATTTGTATATATAGATTAAGCCATTATCGTACGTGATTTTAAAGGATAAGTTCACCTTTTAACAAGAAATAATAAATGTGTATTTTTTTTTGCAGGTAAAAAAAAACATGCATTTATTATTTTTGGTTTCTGGAGCCTCTAAAGCAGGGGTCTCCAAACTGTGGCGCAAAGACTGGAAGCTTCCCTTTGCTAGCTTTTATACGGCCCGAGGAGGGGGGGGGGGCACGATTCCTCCCACTGACACCAACGATGGGGCACTATTTCTCCCACTGATACCAACGATGGGGTACTACTCTTCATCTTACTGACCACCAACCCTGAGGCCATATTTATTTTCACTGATGCTGGCCCAGGACATTTTTATCCCAACTGGCCACAACGCTGCCCTCCTAAAGTCTGAAGGACAGAAAACTGGCCCTCTGTTTGAAAAGTTTGGAGACCCTTGCATTACAGCATTGCACCAGCAATCAGCAGATTACGGGTTCCATGCAGATCTCCCCCTGACCTGTCAGTATATCTGCTTGCTCATACATCCTGTACGGGCAAGTAGATACGTAATAATGGGAAGGCTCAATGAACTAGTTAATTTAAAACTATAAGCCAACAGCCACAAGTGCTGTCGGAACGTGTAGTTTTCCCATTCACAGAATACTTTAACTACTTGCCAACCGCAGATAGCCGAATGACGGCTACACTGCGGCTGGCCAGTTCTGGGAGGGCGTCATATGATGTCCTCCCAGAATGCGCTCTCCTGCGCGCACCTGGCGATCTCCATGATTGCTGTGTCCTACGGACACAGCTGATCACGTTATGTGGTAAAAGGCCAATCACAGCGGCCTTTTACCACGTGATCAGCCGTGTCCAGTGACACGCTGATCACTGGGAAATGCAATTTCCGGTTCTCGGCTGCACTTTCCTCACGCTGTCAGAGCGCGGCAGTTGTCAGAGCAGGGATCGGCACCGATCATCAGGGCACTGATGATCAGTGCCCAGCAGTGCCACCCACCAGTTCTGCTTACTTGTGCCCAGCAGTGCCACCTACCTGTCCCCAGCAGTGCCACCCACCTGTGCCCATCAATGCAGTGCTGCCAGCCAGTGCCCAGCAGTTGTGCCAGTCAATGCCTAGCAGTGCCGCCAGTCAGTGCCCAGCAGTGATGCCAGTCAGTGACACCTATCAGTGCTGTCTATCAGTACCCATCATCAGTGCCACCTATCAGTGCCACCTATCCGTGACACCTCATTAGTGCCGCCTATCAGTGCCCTTCAGTGCCGCCTATCAGTGCCCATCAGTGCTGCCTATCAGTGCCCATTAGTGCTGCCTCATCAATGCACATCAGTGAAGGAGAAAAATTACCTGTTTGAAAAATGTTATAATAGAAACAAAGAATTTTTTTTTTTCACATTTTTTTCCCTTTTTTTGTTTATAGCGCAAAAAGTAAAGCTCCCAGCAGCGATTAAACACCACCAAAAGAAAGCTCTATTTGTGAGAAAAAAATGATAAAAATTTCATATGGGTACAATCTTGCATGACTGCGCAATTGTCAATCAAAGTGCGACATCGCTGAAAGCTGCAAATTGGCCTGGTAAAGAAGGGGGTATAAGTGCCCGGTAGTCAAGTGGTTAAATGAGTGACACGGCTGGGCAGGCGGAGCCCCGCTTGGCAACGTTTTTTTTAAATTGTGACAGCTAGCAGGGAGGAGAAGATCCCCCGCTAGCTGTCACAACAGAGATCAGGGGGTGCGGGGGCTGCTCCGATCATAACTTTACACCCTAAATATGGATCTAACATGTTAAGAAAAGTGAACTTCTCCTTTAACAATTTTGTGATTTTATTTATTTTATTTTTTTTTTACAAAGTTACATTTCACCTGTTTTCAATTTCCTTATTTCTCACCTCTAATCTTCTCCTTTAATTTGTTTTTTTTTTTATCTACAGGTGTTTCTGGTTCGAAAATTGACTCCACCTGACAATAATCAGTTGTATGCAATGAAAGTCCTTAAAAAGGCTACACTGAAAGGTGAGCAGTTGGCATAAAACTCTTTTCTCTTCTGTAGTTACCGCTTTTCCTGTAGAGTAATGTTCCAAGATCATATAAATTATGCTGAGCCATTGGTTTTGTCCAGGCCTCATGATTCACTCTTCCTATAAACGCATCTGTAATCTATATTTAGGTGGGATTATGTATTCTGGGGGGATGCTGTTGTAGAGGTAAGGTTAGGAATTTGCACTGCCTTTAGATGGTGCATTCTAATTTTTTTGTTATCTAAACCATCAACCCGAATTTATTATATTGCAGCCTACCATTCTTTGAGTATGGTGGCTGCATCAGTTATATTTTTTCAGGCTAAGAACATTTTAAGCAAAATTAAAAAATATCTGCTGTTCTTGCTAGATATATAATGTCCCTTCCTGGGAACTCAAAAGAAAGCACAAGGAACTTTATCTTTCTTGTGTAAACTACTAGTCCCATCAATCCACCATGTAATACAGATGAACAAAGGCAGGCATCTTTAAAATCCAGCCTTTGTAACAACCATGACTGCCCCCATAGATACAGTGGAGATAAGTGTAGACTTGAAGGAACACAGAATGTTGTGATCAGGTGAAAAAAGAAAAGTAATGCAGACACCACATCTCAGGGCTGGTAAGTTGCAATATATTACTTTTTGATTTTAGATTACAATAGAATTTAATTTTAGGTTCAAGTAAATCTGAAAATAGCAATCAGTAGGTAAACATGAGAACCTCTGTTTAATCTTTGTGCACAGAACAAAGCAAAGATGACACAAATGGTTTCCTCAACACCTGTAGACAAACCAGTCTATTCAGTAAAGCTGACAATACACATTGCAATTTGAGTGAACAGTCCAAATTTTTTTTTCTAAATCACAAAGCAATTGATGCATAAAATGGTAATTTTGATTGAGTTTAAGTAGATGGGATCAAAATTGCTATCTGCTTGCAGATCACTTTTGATTAACTTGCCTTAGATTTCCTAATTTGGATTCCATTTCAGTTCCATCTTTCAATAAACTGTATTGAAGCTGTCAATGTATTGCCCATATTCAACTTCATACTCAACCAAATTTTGATGGTCGGTGGAATTTGTGGGTGGTAGATTGCTTAGTTTCTGGTAATCACTTGCAATCGTAATTGTAATTCCTACTGGCTCAAATATCATTGTCGATGGGCTTTTGAGCCTGTGTTAATGGCATTGGTTTGACCGCAGCTTGAGTTGCTTCTGAGATCATTCAGAAAACACTGACTGGTACAATTGACTTCCTTCTGAACTGCATTTGACTTACTTCAAGGAACTGTTGCGTTCCCTTAGACATGTATGGGAATGCAAAACCTGCTTCAAGCATGCAAAACCCGCTTGAAGCAAACAAATGTCCATCAACACAACTGCACACAAACTGTGCTGATGTGAAAAAGGCTGTAAACTATCTGACTTTCAGTAATATAAAATATGATTTGCAGCAAAAGTTTACTGCTATTTGCATATCTTCACAGCTACTTGCGTTTTCTTATTGACCATGTACAATATTGTGAGTATAATGAGAAATTATAGCACAGCTTCTACCCATTGTGATTGCCTATCTAAAAAATATTATGCAAATCTCATTCTTTCCCAGCAAAGTTTGTTGTTATTAAAGAAGGGTCCTCAAAGTCTGCTGGGAAACCAATACTTCAAGGAGTGTAGATCTCCTTGGTCCCCCTTAGCTTTTACAGGTTCTTACTGCTGACTTCCACATTACTGCAGGAGACAGAAGTGATGTTGAGATCATCATGAGAAACAAGGATTCTAGGCAGAAAAAAAAAAAAACACAGCACTGCCTATCTTCACTCCTAGCTTTTAGTCAACCCCACCTCTGCCATAGGTAGATCAGTTTTGTTTTTTCTCCTCCAAGTGGCCCTTTCAGTGTGCTCTCCATTGCTACCATTGCTTCCATTGGAACTTGAACATCTTTTTGTTTATGCTTAAGATGCCCGCTTTTGGGGATCTTCCTTTTAATACCTCTTTTTCAGAAGTTTGTCTTTTCATTGCTATCACTCCTGCATGCGACAGGTGGCAGTTAGCGGCCTTGCCCTGGGTTTCCCCTATTGATTTAGCAATAAAGGTCTGCACACCATTATTAACTACATAACAACCAATCATATATAGAGTGCTCAAGCCTCCCAACAGTGTATCAATCTGTTAGTACAATCATTTTTAATGTATAGAGTAAGCACACCACATAGCCAAACTGCTTTAGCAATAAGTTTGTATTAGGCATATGCAATACATGTAATCACCTAGCAGGTACAGAAAAGATGTACATGTCATTATTGAATTACAGCAAAGAATATGCATGCATTTAGGTGCAATGAGCTACACTTAAATGTATAAGTGCTGATGTTCAGAAATACATACAGGAATGCAATACCCAGAATAGAGTAAAAAAGGAAACTTGAGCCAGACCCTGGTGAAAAGAGAGAGGAGGAAAAAAAAATGTTTTGGGGATCCAAAAACCTCCTTTCTCAATAACCTTCTACCTTCTTTCCCACTGGAGCACTGGATGTCTTATATATACATTGGTAGCCAATGGTCAGCTTCTTCCCCCAGCTGGCTGTATGTGATATCATTTCCGGATCCTGTTTCCGGGAGTGACATCACTTCTGGTTCCTTCCTGCTCCCAAGACTTGCTAACCATAACATGGCTGGACCATGTGCTAACCAGCTTCTGATAGAGCTAGACTGCACGGGGGCAGGGTGACACCTAGTTTGTCTAAGCACAACAGAAATAAACAAACAAAGATGCATGTAATGCGGTACATATAATGCTTAGCAAAAACTCTGATGGGGAAATTTCAGGGAGCAGCTTCCAAAAGATGGCTTGTTGAAGATTCACAATCTAAAATATAAACCGAATAACCAATGATTAAGAAAGGAACATGTGTACAGGTAAAAATGTTCATGAAATAACACAATGTTTACCCACTTTAAAACCCTCTACACATATTTAATCCAAAATATATAGAGAGAAAAAAATGTAAATACATATACAGCAGAGAGAAAACCCCTCTCTATAGCTGGCCATACACCAAATAATCCGATTGTCCAATCTCTGCACAATGCAACAGGTTAATGTAGCATAAGATAGAAAGAGAACTGTGCAATACTAACAATTACCAACTAATAAGAAAAGTAGGAGCACCAATTGGTAACCATTGGATCTTAATGAGACCATCCAATCTGATTGTACAGTGTATTGCCAACAAAATGGAACCAGATCAAAGAAATACTGTAAGTTCACTTTCTCCATTCTTACATTTAGGGTATAGCGTGTCCAGTTTTTTAAGTCCAAGATAATTCCCTCTGGAATATCAGCCTAGCCAAGTCTCCCCTTCTTGGTGGACATTTGACTTCCTTGACCACAGTGAAATGCAAATCACAACAGCTCACAATTAAGGTTCACTGTAACTGAGGAAGTCAAATGTCCCTCCTTCTTTGGGGGGGTTCTCTTGTATTGTTGTGTTTTCCTTCTCTGGTTGCCCACCCCTCAATATGGCACTGCTTTGGGACGTTCCTACGGTCAAGAATGAGAAACAGCCCTGTCCGGTAATAAACATAAGAGAAAACGGCTTTTTTGTTACTCACTGTAAAATCCGGTTCTGTGAATTTATTGATGGACACAGCAGCCACCCCCCTCTAGTTCTTTTCTACTTATACTGCTTTGTAACAAAACTGAGCTACCTATAGCAGAGAGGGGGATAACTACCAGCTAGGACTGCCCATAGCGGCGGTGCTGTGGTCTTTTTTTTTTCTGCCTAGAGTCCTACTTCTGTAGGTGGCGATATAACCCTATGTTCAAGACTGAGAAAGCGCTGTGTCCATCAATCATTAATGAACTCATAGGGGTTTTATAGTGAGTAACAAAAATCTTTTTTTTTTTTTTTTTTTCCACTGTCTATTTTTTAACTACACTCCTTCACATAGGGGTTAAAAATTCCTTATGTGATGATTTTTTTTTCCCTCGGTTCTGCAGTGCCCTTTGCTGCTCTGATCTGGTGATAGAAGCTGACAGCATGGCCACATCTCGCCAATTGCTGAAACCCCGCACTAGGTCATAGCCATGCAGAAATTGTAGATGTTACTGATCTAGCCTGTTGATCTCTTGGAATCTTGTGTATGTGCTCACAAGGACAGCATACAAAATATGTCATTTAACATATCTGGCAATCTTAGCACTGTTGCTGTATATTTTATGGCAAAATAACTATCCATGGCAGGCAGCATTAATCCTAAAAAATGACTGCACTGATATATACAGTATATATTTTTTTAAAGCAAGCATATTTAGACACTAAAGGCATAAATGCATGCAGTATAATCTGCTATTCTGCACACATTATAATGTGCAATCATTTTTTATTGGATCTCCCACCTATCTTTTTGTTTCATTTAGGAGTTCAGGTGAGATCTTTGCACCAAAGTTCTTGAAACTGCTTGTAGCTATTAGAAAAGAATTGTACTCCCAAGTCAGTTTCATCGCAAAGATCCCAGTACTGACTGTGTTTGGCATGGGAGTGAATGATTTTGTCATCCATATGGCAAAGGATGGCTTATTGGTGATGACAACTTCAGAATCTTAGTATTAGGGGTTGAGTAGGATTTTATGGGATTTAAAGGCTAAATTCACCTTTCCAATAAAAGTGTTCCCATGAATTAAAGCATTCCTAGTAGGTTAAAAATAACTGTGCAGCTTGTAAAATATAGAAGTGCATCTTTTAAATATCTTACCTGTAGGCTGTGCATGGCCTCTCCCACGTCTGTCAAAAAAAAAATCTTCTCTTGTGAGTGAGCCGTCTTATTCTGCCTAGATGCCAGGACATGCCATACGCATCGCAAGGACGAGCACTCTGACTGGCTCAAAACCTGTCCGCTTGCAGTGCACTTTCTCTTTCTCAGTTGCAGCACTTTTTTTTTTTTTTTTTATTAAATAAAGCTGCTCAGTGATTTGAATCTGCTGGGGACGATTGAATGCATGAAATTTTTTATTGGGAAGGTGAATTTAGCCTTTTAAATTTGAGAATTAAGATGAACTGTGGTTGGGTAATTTTTCTGGTTTTCCAAAGTGCAATTGTGCATACAATATAACTATATCAAACCATATTATTTTATCAGGAAATATTAGTGTAAGGTCAATACATGCAATAACCTAAACAAAAAATGAAAACAAACTATAAATACACATTGTGCCATATAAAAAGCATTCAAACATTAAAGAATGTGTGATATAACACCATACTCAAAAAAAAAAAAAAAAAAAAAAAAAAAGATAAACACTGAAGATTGTGTATATACGTACATATGGACAAATGTGTATATGGATAATGATAAGCTAAAACTTTAAAGTGTGTATAATATAACTAAGTACTCCACTCTCAAACTTATATATGTACAGATGGACAAATGAACATATGAACAGTAATAAAATCAGCATAAATAAAAATGTTCAATATTGCAAAGATAAGATGAATAACGCTAACAAATATGCAGAATGTCCCTACCGATGGATAAATATGCTGGTGAACAGTCCAAAATCAACATGGAAAATCCCAAAGGAAAGGAAGACACACTTTAAATTGTGAGATGGAGAGCATTCAGTGCAGCAGGAATAGAAGGTGCCAGGAAAGTACACCACCCACATGAAAGGTAAGCTTCTTACTAGAGACACTGACCCCACATAGAGATCATAAAGCGCCTTGCCGTCCCACAGCACAAAATATTCAGACACGCCATTCCATCTATGTAGGATCCTGTGTAAGTGTGCTTAGCACAGAGGAGTTAAAAGCGAGAAGGGACCACCATAGTGCAGTATGTTAAAACCAAGGGCTTTTAATATGGTAATGTACTTACAATAAAGACAATCACAGTCATATAACAAGAGATGAGCACTGCCAGATTTCCGCCAGCGTGCTTGATAACGCCACGTGTTCAACCCCACTCTAGCACATTTCACTTTAAACAGCATCTTCAGAGGATAGAAGCATTGCACTATGGTGGTCACTTCTTGATTTTAACGCCTCTGTGCTGAGCACACTTACACAGGTTCATACCTATATGGAGTGGCATATTTGAATATTTTGTGCTGTGGGACGGCAAAGCGCATTATGATCTCTGTGGGATCAGTGTCTCTGGTAAGAAGTTTACCTTTCATGTGGTGGTGTGATTTCCTGGCACCCTCTATTCCTGCTGCACTGAGTGTTCTCCGCCTCACACTTTGAAGAGTGTCTTCCTTTCCTTTGGGATTTTCTAGATTTTGGACTGTTCATCAGGATATTTATCTATCTATATGGGCATTTTGCATATTTGTTTGCTTTATTATCTTTAAAATATTGAATAACATATTTTTATTTATGCTTGTTTATTATTGTCCATATGTACATTTGTCTGTCTGCATGTATATACATTTTTGTTTATTTCTATTTTTAGAGTAGAGCACTGGGTTATATTATATACACTTTAAAGTGTCAGTGCTTTTGAGCTTATCATTGTCCATATACACATTTGTCCATCTGTGTATATATACAATCTTCTGTGTTTACTTTGAAAGTAGAGTATGGTGTTATATCACACATGCTTTAATGTTTGAATCCTTTTTAAGTATATGGCACAATTTTATTTGTGTTTACATTTTGTTTTCAATTTTTTTAGGTGATTGCATGTATTGAGTTTACACTATTATTATTTCCTTAGAAAATATGGTTTGATATAGTTATATTGCAGGGGTATTGCATTAAAAATCAAGGAGGTCCAGTCACTAAAATCTTCTTCCAGCCAAGGTCCAATGTTTGTGCTGTCAGAGTGCCCCTTTATGTCAAGTGCTCCCATCAGAGTGCCCCTTTACATCAGGTGCCCCGTCAAAGTATGCCTTTATTCAGTTAAATATGCATATGTAATTATATGGTCTGATCATTTCAGCATAGGAATATTATTGCGTCTAAAATCTGACACAAGCTATAGATAAAAATATAATCAAAACCTGACACTTCGCCAGGGTACATTTCCAGTGTCATGTAATGAAAATGTGCATGTGACTTCATAGTTTATAAACCTTAGCACTTATTAAAGACAAGATATTGGAATGAAATGAAAGGGTAGTTCTGGTTTAAAACACACCTCCATGAATTTACATTGATTTATACAATCTGTGTTTACCTATTACAATAAAAGCCTACTTATATACAGTATGTATTCAGGTAGATCGGTTCAGTATGCAGTTCGTGGTAAATCTGCAGGAAAAAACTGTGTGGTATTGCTACTGTACAGCTTGCTCTACTTTCTAGAGGGATACTTTATATTTATAAGACTAGAGTCATATTTGCAAATATATGCTGATGCATTGTAACCTGCTTCTTCATCTTAGAACTTGTATACATGCATGTTTTAAAAAAAGAATAAAAAATAATTGTATGTTGCTGACATTATTCATCTAAATGGAAATGACATTTCATTGTTATCGGCTAGAAAAAGAGCTGTTCATTTTATGTATATATAAGGAAGTCACACATATAGTATCAGTTGCCTAGAATATTATGCCTTTTTTTCTGCAAGAATTAATTAGCAGCTTCCATGATGTGTATACATCATTTTTGTTAACACTATATGTCTTGAATCTCAACATTTTAAAGTGTGTGAAGTACATATTAACCACAGCAGAGTGTGTTTTTGTTTTCTCTCTCCTATGTATATCAAGTAAGAGACCGTGTAAGAACCAAAATGGAACGTGATATTTTGGCTGAAGTGCACCACCCATTTGTAGTGAGGCTTCATTATGGTAAGCCTAGGCCAGTGCTTCTAGGAAGGATTTTAATGAAATGAAAAAATTTACATTTTAAAGCAGTGAATCATGTTTAATGTAAAACATGGCTGATAACGGAAATTGATATCTCCTGACAGCATTCCAGACAGAGGGCAAACTTTATTTGATCTTGGACTTTTTGCGTGGTGGAGACCTCTTTACTCGTCTTTCAAAGGAGGTTTGTATAAAAACATCTCTCTCAAAATTGAAACTTTTATAGCCTCTTTTTGATTTCCTGTCCATTCAGTTGGCAATTAGCTTTCCTACACTCAAATTGTCAGTTAGTGGGTACTAGCGTTAAAGTGCATCGGTAGCTACAAAAAAAAAAAAAAGATCAATCAAGAATTAGGCTTGGTTCCACCCACACAGAGGAATGCAGAAGACATTTTATTCTAATGGCACGCTGCCCGCACTGGAAATCACATAAGTACTGGAACCTTGGTTGCGATTTCCCAAGTAGTGCGGGGACTTCTGCTCTGCGTGTCCCGGGGCATGAGTCCATCATTCAAATGAATGGGCTCTCGTTCCCATGCAAATCATGAGCCACATGGCCGCACATATGTGAACCAGGGGTTAGAGATATTTACAGTGCAATTAACCCAAGCACAATTAGTGTATTGTTTGCTTGAAGTATAGCATTCCCTACTATTTCTTGCCCTAGCTGGCTCTACAGGTCAGCCACAGAGTGTTTCTGACAGCAGATCTGTTTCAGTTCACATTGTCAGTAAGATGGAGCACAGCTGAGAGTCTGCCACTGGCTGTGCAATAGAATCTGCACTCCAAACCTCTCTAGTACTGTAATTACAAGCGATGTTTTAGTTTCTTATTTTTTGCTATTGCGTTGTAGGTCATGTTTACCGAGGAGGATGTCAAATTTTACCTGGCTGAGCTGGCACTAGGCCTTGATCACCTGCATAGCTTGGGGATTATCTATCGTGACCTCAAGCCTGAGAAGTAGGTATAATCAGTTTGCTGCTCTGTATACGGTATAATCTAGTATTTGTATGTAGCAAAAAATTTTGTAATATGACTTAAAATGTAAAGTGGATTTTAAGAAATGAAGTCTTGATTTTTAGAGTTTACATTGTAAAGCCACAGCTTCAAAATGAAGTCTAGATTTTTAGACTTTGCATTGTAAGGCTATGGCTACATGCATGAGTTTAATCTCCTACCAAGTATTTAAATCTCGCAGATTATAAATTGCTGTGGAGTCCTAGCCTAAGGTAATGGTTATCAGCAACAATAGACCAGTGTAGTACAAGGGTAAACCTGGCTGTAAGCATTAGTCATACATGTTTGTAGTGCATAAGCATTTAATAGACACTATGTCAGGGGAATAGGGGATGGGCAAGTTAATACCAGCATCCACAATGTTTTTGGATGTGTTTTTGGGGATATGTGAACACTGCACATAACTGTATTGTTTACATTGTATATTCCGGTGTACAGGCTTACCCAGTAGCTTATGATGTCAGGGAATAGCCGCTATGGATGTTAAGAGCAGAAAGTCTCCAACACTCCCAAAAGTGTCGAAGATGGTAGAGAATAGTACAGCACCATTTATAAAAATGAGAGATCAAATCGGCAAGGAGGCTGCTTTAGTAACCCCTCTTTCACTATAATAACGAATATGCTTAAAATGGTATTAAAAAAGAAAGTAAAAAAAACTAAAGTGTGGATTTAAGCTTAAAAAAATTTATGATCCAGGAATGTGCAATTCATATTGCCTGTCGCCCGGGACATGCAGTTCTGGGTGTTAGGCAGGTGGTTTTTATTTACATATTTTTTTGTGGAGCGGACACCGGTGAAGCATGAGCAGATCTTCATGCTACACCATAGTTAGCAGGCTCTTCTCTCATCCATGCTGCTGTCCGTTGCAGGCTTGGCAGCCCCGTTCAGTTCTGGACACTTCCACACTTCTCTTTTCTCTCCTCATCCTTCTTGGACACGCTGACAAGCCGCCTTTTTCCGCACCCCTCACCTCAGCACACACGCTCTCCTTCTCTCCATTTGTTTCCCTCTGTCTGCATTCACTCTGCTGCAGAACACCCACATGGTGGGTGGCCTCAGGACCCGGACCACCATACAGGACATATCAATGGCAACACACATCAAACTCTGTCCTATTACTACTTATCTAATCCACCTTCCACATCCACATACAGCATTGTACTTTTTGATTGCGGAACGTAGGGATAATCAGAGGTGTCCTGCTGAGTGTGGGGATGATCAGAGGTGGCATGCCCCACGCTCAGCAGGACACCTCTGACCAGGTCCGGGCTCAGCAGGACACCTCTGACCAGGTCCGGGCTCAGCAGGACACCTCTGACCAGGTCCGGGCTCAGCAGGACACCTCTGACCAGGTCCGGGCTCAGCAGGACACCTCTGACCAGGTCCGGGCTCAGCAGGACACCTCTGACCAGGTCCGGGCTCAGCAGGACACCTCTGACCAGGTCCGGGCTCAGCAGGACACCTCTGACCAGGTCCGGGCTCAGCAGGACACCTCTGACCAGGTCCGGGCTCAGCAGGACACCTCTGACCAGGTCCGGGCTCAGCAGGACACCTCTGACCAGGTCCGGGCTCAGCAGGACACCTCTGACCAGGTCCGGGCTCAGCAGGACACCTCTGACCAGGTCCGGGCTCAGCAGGACACCTCTGACCAGGTCCGGGCTCAGCAGGACACCTCTGACCAGGTCCGGGCTCAGCAGGACACCTCTGACCATCCCCCCCCCCCCCTCAGCAGGACACCTCTGACCATCTCCCCCCCCCCCCCCCTCAGCAGGACACCTCTGACCATCCCCCCCCCCCCCCCCCTCAGCAGGACACCTCTGACCATCCCCCCCCTCAGCAGGGCACCTCTGACCATCCCCGCCCTCAGCAGGGCACCTCTGACCATCCCCGCCCTCAGTAGGACATCTCTGACCATCCCCGCCCTCAGCAGGACACCTCTGACCATCCCCGCCCTCAGCGGGACACCTCTGACCATCCCCGCCCTCAGCGGGACACCTCTGACCATCCCCGCCCTCAGCGGGACACCTCTGACCATCCCCGCCCTCAGCGGGACACCTCTGACCATCCCCGCCCTCAGCGGGACACCTCTGACCATCCCCGCCCTCAGCGGGACACCTCTGACCATCCCCGCCCTCAGCGGGACACCTCTGACCATCCCCCCCCCCCCCCCCCCCCTCAGCGGGACACCTCTGACCATCCCCCCCCCCTCAGCGGGACACCTCTGACCATCCCCTCCCCCTCAGCGGGACACCTCTGACCATCCCCTCCCCCTCAGCAGGACACCTCTGACCATCCCCCCCCCCCCCCTCAGCAGGACACCTCTGACCATCCCCCCCCTCAGCAGGGCACCTCTGACCATCCCCGCCCTCAGCAGGGCACCTCTGACCATCCCCGCCCTCAGCAGGACACCTCTGACCATCCCCGCCCTCAGCAGGACACCTCTGACCCATCCCCGCCCTCAGCAGGACACCTCTGACCATCCCCGCCCTCAGCAGGACACCTCTGACCATCCCCGCCCTCAGCAGGACACCTCTGACCATCCCCGCCCTCAGCAGGACACCTCTGACCATCCCCCCCCCCCCCCTCAGCAGGACACCTCTGACCATCCCCCCCCCCCTCAGCAGGACACCTCTGACCATCCCCCCCCCCCCCCTCAGCAGGACACCTCTGACCATCCCCCCCCCCCCCCCTCAGCAGGACACCTCTGACCATCCCCCCCCCCCCCCCCCCCCCCTCAGCAGGACACCTCTGACCATCCCCCCCCCCCCCCCTCAGCAGGACACCTCTGACCATCCCCCCCCCCTCAGCAGGACACCTCTGACCATCCCCCCCCCCTCAGCAGGACACCTCTGACCATCCCCCCCCCCCTCAGCAGGACACCTCTGACCATCCCCCCCCCCTCAGCAGGACACCTCTGACCATCCCCCCCCCCCCCCCTCAGCAGGACACCTCTGACCATCCCTGCCCTCAGCAGGACACCTCTGACCATCCCCGCCCCCAGCAGGACACCTCTGACCATCCCCGCCCCCAGCAGGACACCTCTGACCATCCCCGCCCTCAGCAGGACACCTCTGACCATCCCCCCCCCCCCCCCCCCTCAGCAGGACACCTCTGACCATCCCCGCCCTCAGCAGGACACCTCTGACCATCCCCCGCCCTCAGCAGGACACCTCTGACCATCCTCGCCCTCAGCAGGACACCTCTGACCATCCTCGCCCTCAGCAGGACACCTCTGTAGGGATGGAAAGGGGTGTCATGCTGAGTGAAGGGATGGTCAGCCTTAATTAAAGGTTTTGGTTTAAAATCATTTTTTTTTTTAATCTGGACAAGTAGATTGTCATGAGGGACAAGTAGATTGGGACCACAATTTAGTTCCTTGGACAAGTATTTTTTTTTAAATCTCCATACCCCTGTGCTCATCTAAGTCCTGACATCTGGGTAGATCATGACCATATGGTCAGGATCTTTTCAGAGCCTGAACTGGGTCTGTGACATCAGCTGGCAGCAGTCTTTAGCCCACTGTTGGCTGAAAACAGGTCACAGGAATGCAGTATGAACTGCACTCCTGTGATCCATAAGAGAAGTACAGCCAAAAAAGCTTTGGCTATACTTCTCCTTTAAACCCAAATATAAACAAAAGGAAAAAAGTTGCTGTAACTGCTTATAAAGTGTTAGCTGGTGCCCCTGTGCTGTGTGTGTGATCCAGAAGGGGGGAGGGCACTCTAATACATAAAGTGGGTTACTGACCAGATCACCAGGTGAAACCAGAGGGAAATAGCCCAAGAAAGGAAACAAATGTAGCCACCACATCTAATGATTGGTAAGGTGCAAAATATTACATTTTTGGTTTGGGGTTAATACCGCTTTAAGCTGCTCTGTACAGAGCGTTGACAGTGTCACTTTAATGGTGGAAGAATAGTGCATTTTCTGTGATATAGTGTGTTACTGCAGTGCTGCAGTTCCTTTTTATACAATGTTTGTAGGTTAGAAATTGGAGAGCAGTGGCTCAGTCAGTTTTTTGTCTCTTTACTGCTGAGGTAAAATATCCCCCGCATAGGAATTGCATTGCTTTCGAAGAGTCGGCCATCTTTTTTTTACATCTAGCTGATGATTTTACATATTTTTACATATATACAGCTATATTTGTTCTGGTGCCTTGTCACAGCCATTTAACCACCTGCCTCCATGCGTTAATAGAAATACTGCTACAGGGCGGCAGGGCTGCGCAAAGTCATGTGTATATATACGTGATTTGCATCTCCGGGTAGGGGGCGCGCCCCCCGCCCTAGGTGCCTACGAATGTCAATCACCGGGTCCTGACTGGAGATTCTCTGCCTACACCCGGCGATCACCGAGAAACTGTGACGGGAGACACCTGTGTATAAACAACACAGGTCTCTCCCCTGCCAGCAATAACATGCTGCTGTGTATTTCTCTGTACAGCAGAGACATACACAGCATCATGTTTTCCTAGTAAAACGCACACAGTAAAACAGCACACAGTCAACCCTTTTGATTGCCCCAGATGTTAACCCCTTCCTGCCCAGTGTCATTAGTACAGTGTCAGTGCTTTTTATTAGCACTGATCACTGTATTAGTGTCATTGGGATGTCAGTGGCAGTTAGTTCCCACCCAGTGTCAGAATGCCTGCCGCAGTCCCGCTATAAGTCACTGATTGCCACCATTGCTAGTGTATGTAGACACTATAACTTTCACATAAACCAATTAATTTACATGTATTGGGATTTTTTTTTACCAAAGACATGTAGCAGAATACGTTTTGGTCTAAATTTTATGACAAAATTATTTTTTTCAACATTTTTTTTAACTGGATATGTTTTATAGCAAAAAGTAAAAACATTTTTTTTTTTTTTTAAATTGTCAGTCTTTTTTTGTTTATAGCACAAAAACTTAAAATCTCACAGTTGATCAAATACCACCAAAAGGAAGCTTTCTGTTTGTGGGGATAAAGGACATAAATTTCATTTGTGTGCAGCATTGCATGACCAAGCAATTGCCAGTTAAAATAATGCAGCGCCATATCGCAAAAAATGGCCTGGTCAGGAAAGGGGTTAATCCTCTGGAGGGCAAGTGGTTAATGTAACCTTTTTACCAATATGCCACACTTTACTGATAACTGCTTATAAACACCTGGGTGAAATATAATGAGAGGCTAGGTATTGTATCATAAGTTGCTTAAAGTGTTACTAAACCTACAACCATAAAATCAGTCTGTATATGCAGTAAAGCATGCTTGTTATACTCACTGTGGAACCTTAGGGGTTAATCCTCTGCATTGTGTAAAAAGGCTGTTCGATCCTTTCCTCTCTGTTCCTCCCCTTTTTCAAGTGGCCACCTCTTATCGCCAGACTAAACCATAGGCATGCACATGCTCAGTTTGGTGTGTATTGCTAGAAAGGTGTTTTTTTTTTTTTTTTTTTTGTTCTTGGGAGAGTGCATGTGATTGGCACAGGGCCAATCAGCACTGTCCAGAGGTCAGGGGATTTCCATCCTCCTAGAGCAGAAAGAAAACTCCTACAAGCTTTAGCTAGTGGTGAGCTGAACACTGATAGAAGTTACAAGACTGCTCTAACTGCTGATGAGAAAAGGTATTTAGCAGTTTATATTTATTAAAATAATAGCACTTCCATGTTCTGTGTACTGTGGGAGACCAGATATAGTGAATGCAGGGTCCTGGGTTTAGTAACACTTTACAGTCAATTCCAGCATGAGGACATTCATGTTGACTTCGTAATTCAGTGAACATTTACTTCAAAAGAAACTGGAAAAAGGTTAAATAAGTTAGTCACAAGTTGTGATTGTTTTGGTCCATTAACTGCCTGGTCCTTGGCATTTGTCCAGCCCTGGTTAATCATTTCTTCTTGGGTGCAGCTGTGAATCCAGATGTTTTCTAAAAAAAAACAAAAAAAAAAACAAATGAGAGTAAACCTTTAGGTGAATTTGAAATGTGAATGTTAAGTAACATTTTGCATCTGTCTAATATTACAGCATTTTGCTGGATGAGGAAGGTCACATCAAGTTAACAGGTACATCTGCTTTTGATATTATTGCTGAAACACTTCACCTACCTTACCTTCCACATAAATGTGCATGCTATTCACCCTGTATCCTCTTTCAGATTTTGGACTAAGTAAAGAGTCAATAGATCATGAGAAGAAAGCATACTCGTTCTGTGGGACAGTGGAGTACATGGCACCAGAGGTTGTGAATCGGCAGGGACATTCCCACAGTGCAGACTGGTGGTCTTATGGCGTGCTTATGGTAATCACTTTTCAATGACTATAGCTAATGATAATCAAGCAAGTTTGTCTTTTTGGATAATAAGCTTTTCCATTTTGAACACTACTAAAGTGTGTGTGACAATACATCTTTATCCATGTTCTAGGTCAAGAGACCACAGGGATAACTAAGATGGCCACAATAATTCTACAGGTTTCAGAATGAGCAACTTCAAGTGGTGTTAAACCCAAAAGCAAACATTTGTTAAATTGGAACTTACCAATTTTTAGATGTGATTGCTGCATTCATTGACTTTGTCAGGCATTCTTTTTGCTATTTTCATCTGGTGATCCAACCAGTAAGTGTTTTTTTGTTTGTTTTTTTTTTAAAGAACAAGCTCTCCAGGAAAATGTATCACTTTTACAGAGATGAGACAAACTATATAATGTTACCAGTGGTGCTTACAATGATCAGCTTTTATTTATGTAAAACCTTTATCGCTAAAACTACTGTAACTGCTTATAAAGCGTCAGCTGGAGTTTGGCTTCAGTTTGTTAGTGTATTTAAATCTGCTAGTCCATCTTACACTCCCCTCCCTCCCCCCCCCAGACTGACAATACTGCTGTCCAAAGGTGCCCCTGTGCTCATTCATTCAGAGTGGGGGAAGAGGAACTCTAAAACAGGAGGTCTGTTACTGGCTAGATCACAAGGTGCAAACAGAGGGGAAAGAGCCAAAAAATAAGTATTAATGCAGCCACCACATCTAATAAATGCGAAGCTGAAATATATTACATTTTTTTGTTTTGGATTTAATACCACTTTTAATAACCTCAACAACTAAAGAAAGAACAACTTCAACCACTGTATCTAATATGTATAATCAGGGCTTTTTTTCAGCGGGAACATGGGAGAACGCAGTTGTAGCACCTCCAGCACTGAATTAATGTAATGACAAGTGGTGCCAGGGTGTGATGGGGGATCTGTTGAGGGAGGTGGTCTATTATTGCTGGTGGGAGATCTATTGTTGCTGGGGGTCAGTTATAGCTGGTTGGGATCTACTGTTGAGCGGGGTTTAATGCTTGCTGATTGGAGATCTATTGTTGCTGGGGTGGTATTTTGTTGAGGGGGTCCAATGTTGCTGGGTGCAGGGGATCTGTTTTACTGTTTGTTTGTTTTTTGTTGTCATTGACAAGTTCCGTACAAAATGATACTTAGCTCTGTATTCTCTAAAAGGAGCGGTACTGGGAGGTGGGTAGGGAGTGGAACCAAGGGACTACTGCTGAGGGTGGGGGGGGTCTATTGTTGCTTGCTGATTGGAGATCTAGTGTTGCTGTTGGAGATCTGTTGTTGATAGGGTGGTATTTTGTTGTGGGGGTCCATTGCTGCTGGGGGGCTATTGTTGCTGGGTGCAGGGGATCTGTTTTACTGTCTGTCTGTTTTTTTCTTGTCATTGACAAGTTCCGTACAAAATGATGCTTGGCTCTGTATTCTCTAAAAGGAGCGGTACTGGGAGGTGGGTAGGGGGTGGAACCAAGGGACAGTGCTTGGAGGTGAGTAGGCACGGAAACAAGGGGTGACTCAGAAGAGTGGAGATCATACATCTATTCTCTGAGGGAAAAAACGCCCTGTGCTACCTTCTTGATTCATGTCTAGTCCATGCTTTTTAATTAATAGAAGTAAAATCAGAGGAAACTAAACCCTTTAATACTACCAATTATTATTCTCAGTTATGCAATCTTTTAATTAACTGTCAAATTGTTACCTGGGAGTAGGGCCAGTTCCCTTTTATATTAGTCCCTATGGCTACTGAGCTCTGTCTGCATTCAGCCACAGGGATCTGCTTGGATGTGAACAAAGCATAAAGCAATAAAAATGTCAAATATGACATTTGCTATTTTATTAGCTCATATTTCTGTTTTTATAGTATTCATTTTTAAGCAGGGAATGTTAATAGCCACATGCTATATTTATCTTGAGTTTCTAAATAATTCAGGAGTTTAAAAATGATTGGGCACTGTAACAAACTAATCTTGGTCTCTCGAGCTCCATCCCCAACCACCAATCATTGCAGTACTATAGAATTAACCTTGCAGTATAGTCATTGCTAATATTTTTGTTTTGGCTAAATTATGAACATACATGAGGGTTCTTTCCCTCTGTTAACTGAGTCTGCCATGCTGCTTGCAACATACCAGGCACATATTTTGTCTAATGGTATGCCTGTTTGGTTCTGAACTGCAGGTAGGACACAGCATTCAGAAAGAAATGAGTCACAAATAGCTATTTTCCAGTGTCTTCACTGTGTGTTTGAGTAAACTGCTTATCAGAAGAGGCAATGAGTAGAGGAAAAATGCTGTCATATTTTAAGTAAAGCCGTCATTTGTGGGGAGACAAATGTGTGGCAAAGAGGAAGTGAAATCTAGCTTGGTGGGTTTTCCACAGAAATCAGTGGTGATTTTCTTGACAAATGCGTTGTAGCTGGCCAAAGTTACATTTGATTCATTGTTAGAGACCTGAATTTGCCACTAAAGATCGTGAAATCCAGATGTTTTGCAAATGGCTGCTTTAGAGAGTTGATCTGGCAAATGCAGCTAAATGTAGCTGTCATATGAGTTCTATTGATGCAGTGAATGTGAAGGTTTCATGCTGCATCTGGCAGCGATTGTTGCGTGAAGCAAGTTTTATTTTTTCTCATATTAAAAAAAAAACATGTACTGTATGTAAACAGGCAGTATTGCTGCCGACAATGTGTAGCAGTCAGGGATTTATGCAGGCCATAGGTGGGTCGAAAACCGGCCATTTAAAAAAAAAAAAAAAAAATCGGTCGTTCAATAGGCCAACGTTACCACTAACGGTAAAAAAAAAAAATCGGCCGATTTTCGTCCCGTCTACGGCCGGCATTTAATTACTTCTGTCCCTGCAGAGAGCTCCGCTATTCTATTTGACATGAAAAAGTATTGTGATTGCAACAATGTATCTATTTGTATCCATTTTGGAAACAGATGTTTTTATTCAGATACAAATAGATACATTGTTGCAACCGCAATACTTTTTCATGTCAAATATAATAGCGGACTGGAATTCTTCTTCTTCCTCTTCTTCTTCCCTCTTCTTCTTCCTCTTCTTCTTCTTCCTCTTCTTCTTCTTCTTCTTCTTCTTCCTCTTCCTCCTCTTCCTCCTCTTCCTCTTCTTCCTCTTCCTCTTCTTCCTCTTCCTCTTCTTCCTCTTCCTCTTCCTCTTCCTCTTCTTCCTCTTCCTCTTCTTCTTCCTCTTCTTCTTCTTCTTCCTCTTCTTTCTTCTTCTTCCTCTTCTTCTTCTTCTTCTTCCTCTTCTTCTTTCTTCTTCTTCCTCTCTTCTTCTTCTTCTTCCTCTTCTTCTTCCTCTTCCTCTTCTTCTTCCTCTTCTTCTTCCTCTTCCTCCTCCAGGTTACGGCTCATGTGCAGAATTTTTTTATCGGTAAAAAGAACGGCCGATTTGCCCATCATTGCCGGGAAAATCGCCTGATTTTTTTCCAACTTCACCAATTAAAAAAAAGTGCCAAAATCCCGAAAAAAACGGCCGACGACCAATTAACCCACTAACTGTGCGAAAATTGGACGATTTTTTTTTTTTCGGACAATTTTCGACCCTTCTATGGCCTGCATTAGGTAACCCTGTCAAGGGACTAAAAATTAGGACAAATGCTCCTGGTAACAGAAGAGGTATTTTACTCACCTCTGGGAAGTTCCATTGCTGTAGACTCTATAGAAGGAACCACAGCCCGAAACAGGGAGAGACAGGTATTTGACACTCCTGGAAGTGTTCAATACCAAAGAATACTGGTGGAGGCTGGAACAAAGTGAAGGTAGGAAATGGGAAACTACTGCAACTGCTGCATAGAATACCTTATTTTGGATTGGAATCTTTTATTTGGATTTTTACTTTCATAGTCAAATGGCTTTACATTATTCTGGTTTCAGTTATATGTTCTTTTTTTTTTTTTATTTTAAACTCCCCTATTGACCCCAGTTAGTTATTAAAAACACCAGAGAGTGCAGTTATGTATATATTTATAAAAAAACATGAAATATACCATTATCTCCTGTATAGCAGCACTCAGACTGTAGGTATGTATTTAATAGTGTTTTTAGCTGTTTTCTTTGAATTCAGCCAAAGGATCTTTGATTCGTATATGAAAAAAAGTGTCATCCTTATATACTGTTGCACCTGGTACATCATCTTTGTGAAAATGAAAAGGCAAACTACAGCCAAAACCTGAAGTTGAACCTCTGTTAGTTTTTACTGAAAAACATGACTGTGCAAGAAGTGATTGGAAATATCTTCAGTGATGACTCAGACTGCAACAAAAATTTTAAAGTGTAATTTGAAAATGTGAATCTTTTATAGTATTAGTATCTTTCTGCCCCGAGGATCTGCTCCACTAATTTCCTGTCCTGTGGTTCCAAGCACAGGAAGTGAAGGGTTTCCCAATGGACAGCAATAAAAATGTGGGGGGAAAAAAGGTTTTCTCTTTTCAAATCTAAAACTAACAAAAAAGTGTTGTTTAGAATTAGGCTCTATTTTAAAAAGAAAATGATCACTTTCAGTTTGACTTTGAATTTGTATGCCACACCACTACCTTCCCTAGTTGCTGTTTATAAATTTGAAAGTCCTATAGTGCATTTAATATATTTTACCATGGCACAATATACACTGTAAAAAACATGACCGAACTGTGGTGAAATGCAATTTAATAGGGTTCTTTTTTTTTTTTTTTTTTTAATATGCACCCCTAATACGTATGGAAAAATATGCTTTATACAAATAGGCTTAGGTAAAGGATAAAGTCATTATTATTATTATACAGTATTTATAAAGCGCCAATAGTTCGCTCAGTGCTGTACATTACAAAGGGGGACAGAACATGTGACAGAACAATAACAATACAATGCAAAACATGAGGGGATCGAGGGCCCTGCTTTTTCGAGCTTACAATCTAGGAGGGAGGGGATGGTGGCACAGGAGGAGATAGCTGTGGGGGATGGAGTGGTAGGAAGAGTGGAGGAGGTCGACAAGTTAGCAGGGGGTGGGGTAGGCTTCCCTGAAGAGATTGGTTTTCAGGGTGCGCCTAAAGGAGAGGAGAGTAGGTGATAATCTGATGGGTTGGGGCAGGGAGTTCCAGAGGATGGGTGACACCCTGGAGAAGTCCTGGAGGGGGCATGGGAGGAGGAGACCAGGGAACTAGAGAGAAGGAGGTCTTGTGAGGAGCGGAGTGTGTGTGTTGGGTGGTACTTGGATATTGGGTTGGTGATGTAGGGGGGGGGGGGCAGTGTGGTGGACGGCTTTGTACGTCAGGTGTTAGGATTTTGAATTTGATCCGTTGGGCAATCGGAAGCCAGTGGAGGGATTGGGGGGGGGGGGGGGGGGGGTGGCGGAGATGGAGCGGTTGGAAAGGTGAATGAGTCTGGCTGCCATTTACTGTATTTGCATTCTTCTGAGTGATATTTAGAAAGAACAATGTATTATAAGATCTAATTCACAGGTACGATTTACCATGTAAAATATACAAAATGATGATTACTACTGAGCATTAATTACATAGCCTATATATAAATAGTTATAACTTGCTTAAAAGCTGTGTTGCCTGCTATACCTTCAAGTATTCCATTTAATATATCTATATATCGCATTATTATTTCAGGTACTTATATAGCACTGTCAATTTACACAGTGCTTTACATATATGTTATACATTCACATCACTTCCTGCCCTCAAGCAGTTCACAATCTAAGGTCCCTAATTTACATTCATACATACAAATACTAGGGCCGATTTATACAGGAGCCAATTAACCTACCAGCATGTCTTTTTGGAGTGTGGAAGGAAACCTATATTTTTAAATTTAACTCAAACGGTAATGTTCAAATAAAATTATACAATAGAACTTTTTACATTTATTAAAAAAATTCTTTATGCCATTGCATTTATTGAATGTACATGCATTTAAAGCTGGATTGCAGATTACTGTTGAAATACAAATATGCAAACTGTCTTACATGCAAAAGGATTTGTATTACTTCAGTTTTGTGATTCAAGCATGCTTGCCAGACAGCAAAAGCCAGGTACTGGGCCTCCCGAAAGACTACATTGCAGTTAAAGAACACAGCATTTTCCAGGACCTATCACAGTCTGTAATTTTGTCATTTTCAAGTAGCACTAATCTGCTAATGCGGTCATTCCAGGGTGTATATATATATATATATATATATATATATATATATATATATATATATACCGTATTTTCCGGCGTATAAGACGACATTTTAACCCCTGGAAATCGTCTACAAAGTCGGGGGTCGTCTTATACGCCGGGTGCTGTGCTGAAACCTTACCATACTTCCGGGTTGACGCTACTGCGCATGTCTTCGGCAGCAGTAGACGATCGCGGATCACCGTAGCTCGCAGAACTGCATGAGACGTCGGATGCAGCAGTGCTCGATTGAGCTTGACTGAAACTGTGATATGCAGAGAAGGGATACACAGTGATTCTGCGCATGTCACAGTTTCAGTCACGATCAATCGAGCACTGAACGGCTGCATCCGACGTCTCATGCAGTTCTGCGAGGAATGGTGATCAGTGATCGTCTACTGCTGCCCTAGACATGTGCAGAAGTGTCAGCTCGGAAGTACCGGTATGGTACTGCTGCATCCGACCTTGTCCCCTTAACTGCTATGAGATACGGTAATTAATTATTAATATTATAATGTCTGTGGCAGTTCTGTGCAATTTATGGTATCTTGGAGACAGGCAGGGCTGGGCAGGCAGGGAGAGCTGACCCACCCAATCCAAGCAGGCTTTGTATGCAGTGTGCACAGTGTGCACAGAAAATACTGGTACATTGCTTGCCGTGATTGGTTGGAAGAGGGGGGTAGTTTTATACGGCGAGTATAGCCCAACCCTATATTTTAACAGGAAAAGTAGGGGGGTCGTCTTATACGCCCAGTCGTCTTATACGCCGGAAAATACGGTATATTTTATATGTGTATGTGTATATATATATTTTTTTTGTTGTGTATGTGTATTTTATTTGTGTGTGTGTATGTGTATATATATGTGTGTGTATGTGTATATATATGTGTGTGTTTGTGTATATATATATTGTGTGTATGTGTATATATGTGTGTGTGTATGTGTATATATGTGTGTGTGTGTGTATTTTTGTATATATATATATGTGTGTGTATGTGTGTATATATATGTGTGTATGTGTATATATATGTGTATGTGTGTATATATATATATATATATGTGTATGTGTGTATATATATATATATGTGTGTATATATATATATATGTGTATGTGTGTATATATATATATATATGTGTATGTGTGTATATATATATATATGTGTATGTGTGTATATATATATATATATGTGTATGTGTGTATATATATATATATATGTGTATGTGTGTGTATATATATATATATGTGTATGTGTGTGTATATATATATATATGTGTATGTGTGTATATATATTTTATATATATATATGTGTATGTGTGTATATATTTATATATATATATGTGTATGTGTATATATATATATGATTAACAGTACTGTACAAATCAGTGTCACCCTGTTTTTTGGCTTCGAGTACTGACCCTCCTTCTCCCGTAGTTCTACTGTGCAGAGAATAGATGGACATACAAGAACGTATTATTAACAACTGTTTTAAGGCAGACCTAACAGGATTATATAGTGGAAGTGTGCAGTATATATATTTTTGATGTTCTGCTTTAACAATTGTATGCACAATAATGAAGACGTTTTTGAATTTAAAAGATTTCTATGGCCACAGCATACATTTTCACTTCATAACATGAGCATTGTACTATTCTTCTGACATCTCTTTCCACAACTGCCTGGATTCCTTCATGCTTTGAAGTTTCTACGGACTTGCAAATCTCATGGTACCTTACTTGCCTGCAAGTAGTGATTCCTGTACTGACTCTGCCTTCTAAAACTCCTCTCCACACCTCTGTAGTTCAGAAGGCAGGCTCCGTGAAGTGTGTGGCACAGACGTGCCTACTCACAGGGCATAATGAATGTCACAGAATTTAAAGAAGAAAATATGTTGGGGTCTTCATAACACAAGTTTAGAAACTTCAAGATCGTTCAGGTGAATAGGAGTAGGCTAGAGATATAATACAATGTAAAAATTAATATATGCTTTTAAACTTTTCCCATAAATACACTTTAAATTGGGCTTTCACTATTTCTAATGCACCCAGCATCTGAATGGGACCAGAATAAACCTTGCTTTTACACTGGAATTTCAGCCATTAACACTTTTTTTTTTTTTTTAACTTTTCTTTTTTTTCCACAGTTTGAAATGCTTACAGGGTCCTTACCATTCCAGGGAAAAGATCGAAAAGAAACAATGACACTAATCTTAAAGTAAGTTCTTGATCTAGGAGATGCCATTGCCTTAGAGCAAATTATGTGTTTGAATTATATACTCTTCAAATTGGTGCCCTGTGAGTGCTTTGTGCTTAGGACGGAAACTTAGCTTTCATATGTATGACCCTATGTTGCAGGGTTCTAAAACAAATACGATTTCTGTACTTACCGTAAAATCTTTTCCTTTGAGTCCATTTAGGGATGCTGGATTGTAGAATAGTTGAGGGAGAAAGACTTTACAGTTTGTGTACATTATACTCCACGCAGAAGATGTCAGCACTCAGTTCCTTTAGTCATAACTGAAAATGAAGGCTGTAACTGTAGGGCAGGAAAAAAATAAACTATTTGCAACTGCTTAAACTGTGCATTGCCCCTAAAGTAACTTCCTATGTAAGTTACTGGACATATACCATAAGATGAACTATACTCAGAAGCTGTAAAAGGATATTTTTGATTAAAAGAAAAAAAAAAAAAAAAAATCCAAGTTCCCACAGAAATAATTTAGACAAAATCCTAAATCTGTATGTGGTAGTAAAAAGCCAATATGGTTTTAATCACATGGGAGTCTGAATAGAGAGGGATTGTACCACAGTGCTACATTAGGGGAAAAAAAAAAACTCCCTGCATCTAACACAGTACACAAAGGTCTGAAGAGAGTGAAGATGCAGCGCTGAAGGAGGATAGGCACATATTAGATTAAAAATTACCAAAACACTGCAGCGCTATTGGTTGCAATATCAACCCCTCAAAACATATTCCAATAAAAAAAACGCGAAAGTGATAAAATGTAACAAAGTCCTTTTCATAACATCATACTGTGCTTTTTCATCTAAATGCTACTGTCTGTGCTACATCCAGCATTATTAGGTGACCACACCACCACCATATGTCTGCTCACCTCCTGTTTGAATCCTCACAAGTTATGCTCTGTCATAAAACGCCTTTTGTCCCTTGCATGGACATCATGGATGTGCTTGTATATGAGTCTGCGCTCTGCTCACCTTCTCTGAAATCACCACTCCGTCTCATGCAAATTGAAACTTAAAAGAGTGCTTTATCCTTTAAAAGTATTTTATTTCCAATAAAACAGATACAGTTGCACTCACTTGTACAGGGTGCACAAACACACCTGGATATGCAGCGTGTACATAAGATACAGCGGTCCTGTGCAATACCACTCTCACCGCTATGACTTCCAAACGTTGTGACGTTATCCAGAGGTCCCGCTAGGCACAGAGTCATATACAAGCAACTTCCATGATGTGCATGGAAGGGGCAAAAAGCGTTTTTATGACCGAACATAACTTGTGAGCTCATAAACAGGAGGTGAGTAGACATCTGGTGACGGGGTGGTCTCTTGCTACTGCTGGATGTAGCATGGATGGTGGCATTTAGATGAAAAAGGACAGTATGATGTTATGAAAAGGACTTTGTTACATTTTATCACTTTCATGCTTTTTATTGGATTATGTTTTGAGGGGTTGATATTGCAACCAATAGCACTGCACAATGTTCTGGTGATTTTTGTTGAATTGGATGAGATTCACATGTGTACACAGTGGCTTTATTTGATGTTTATTTAACCCCTTCACACCTAAGGGTAAAACAAATCTTAAAGCCTAAGTAACATTTTGCAACTTTGACACTTGTTACAGCTACTTTGTACATCCAGGTGAATTATACCTTGTTTTTGCAAGACAAATTGGGCTTTCATTTGGTGGTAAATAGTAATAAGTATTCCCTGATTTTTTTTTTATTATCAAAGGAAAACGGCCCAAAAAAGTAAAAAAAAAAATAAATAATTTTTTTAAAATTTTGCTGTATGTTTCTTGTTACTACCATAACCTACCACCAAAGAACAGCACAAAATAAATTCTCCAGCTCTTGACAATCGCAGCAGTACCATATGTATGTATGTTATTTGTTGTTTGTATCTGTAGTACAGCCCAGAAACAATAGTGCGCATTTTTTTTTTTTTAACTAAAACACATTGGCACTGATGTCAAATTAAATTTAAAAAAAAGCCCTAACCTTGACCCAAACACTAACCCTGAACTAGATCAAACCTTGATCTAGGTATTTTTTCTTTGTTTTTTTTATTTTATTTTATATTTTTTTTTTCTCGCTCTCTCTCTTCTTTTTTCTGCAAGGAGAGAGAGAAAGATACAATGTATCTCTCTCCTCCGTTCAGAGAGGAAAAAAAAAACTGGGCGGGCTTCACAGTGACTGATCACTGTGATAGCCAGTCAGAGGCTATCACAGTGATCATGTGACCCAGAATCGGGAGTCCCGGGTCCCGATTGTCCGAACAGGACCCGGGGCTCTCAGTGACACCCCAGTCTTTGTACCGGGTGCATGCTGCATGGCACACAAAGACAAGTATGCAAATATGCTGCTCCGTGGAAAAAGCCCAGTTCTGTGAGGCCACATATTTGTGTCATGTCGGCACCAGGGGCTTAATACCCACAGGGTAGATCATATTGGTATTTTTCACATTCATTTTTAAGTATATCTCGCTTCATTGATCTTTTAAACACATTAGATTAACCCACAAACTACAGTGCAGTGGGGTGCAGTAGGGAATCCAAAGCAAAGCTAAAAAAAACATATTGGACAGCCTGAAGGGCTTTTTCATCAAGTAAGATATCAGAGACAGCGTCACACCTGAGGGTAATGCTATGGCTCTGGATGAGTAAACCCACAAAATACAAATCAGTGGAATGTGGTAGGGATTTCTAAAGCAAAGCTATGAAGAAACCCATATGAAACAGCCCAAGGGGCATTTTCAAGAAGTATGCTTTCAAGGAGGTTTTGACTAATAGCAACCCACAAGATACAGATCTGTGGAGTACAGTCAAGATTCCAGAAACAAAGTCAAGAAAAATCCTATAACTAGCAGCCCAAAGGGATGAAGTGAGATTTCACAGACTGGGCTGCACCAGTGGTAGAGCCACAGCTTTGGACTTAGATTAGTCCATAAAAAGTAGACACAGCAGGGATTCTAAGGCAAACCTAAGGAAAAACCCATATATAACTGCCTATTAGGACTTTCTTCCTAGGTTTTAGAGACAGGGTCACGTCAGCGATCGTGCCACAGTTCTGGATGTGAGTCAGTGCTGTGCAAATAACAGACACAGATCTTAAGTCTAAAAAGTGCCATTGTCAGAGCTAAATGTCCATAAATGAATTATCATAAGCTTATTGACAAATTGAGTAATTTGAGACTGGCACACCAAAGACAGTGCCATCTCTCTGAACCCGGAGAGCAATGCTGCTAACACTGTACACTTATTATTGATCCAGTGAAGTCCAGGTACGGGCTCCAAAACAACGTCTGAGGAATCACTGAACTTGGATAGCTGCAGCGAAGAGCCAAGCTAAGGCATCAGAATTGAAATGAAATTATAGAAAACATTAAATGCAGAGTTTTCAACAGCAGAGCTCAGGAAAAATGCATCCAACCTGCTAGGACACCAGAAAAAAAAAACTGAAGCATGATGGTTGGAGGTGGTTTTATGGCAGCTTGCTCAACATTTTTAATGCTTAAAACTCCTTAAGGCGGCATACTAACCCACATGTCAAAATTCAAATTGCGTATTTTTCATGCTAATTAGGAAGCTTGAAAACTTTACTACCTGTAAATAATATGAACTAGTGTTTTCTAACATATGTCTTACAGGCTAAGGTCTAGTCTTTTGACACATTGTACAGAGTGGTCATCCACTTGCAGGCACACACGTTGGATTTTTTGCTGGAGCATTCCAAGAACGAGAGGCAATCAAAGGGTTAACGGTGTGCCTAACAAGAGTAATGTGTGCTGCTTTCACTTACAGATCTAGCTATTTTTTTCCTCCCTGCGTTGCAGGGTGTTGAAACAGCCAGGTCACTGATCTGTGTACTGAGCCCAATTTGTTTGTAAACACAGGACTCTGCTCTGTGATTGGCTACAGTAGATCATATGGTCTCAGTCATAAACCACTGGCCAAGAACGGCTATAAAAATTCCGCTGCAAGTCAGTGACAGTGTGGGTCAACCCAGAACAAGCTGGATGACGTACTGGTTAATCTGAGATTATGCGCTGATTTTTTTTCTTTTTTCTCCTAATTTTGGGATAGAGCATTGAAGTGTGGGTGAAGTGTTCCATATTCTGCCAGCCCTACAACAGTGCTAGGCAAATGGTTGGCTGTATAGGCAGCCGACCTTCTTTACCAAATCCTCTCCGAAAACAATTGCCTGTATTGTTCCACAGCAACCAGCCAGATCTAATTTGCACTGAAAAATGACATTTGAAGGATGAAAGATTAAATCTGGTTTCTGTAGGACAGTAAATGAAGATTCTAGTTTAGACATATTGTTAAATGAATTAAAATAAGGTTTCATTTGTCAGACCTGTACATTCTGTCTCTTTTCTAGAGCCAAATTGGGAATGCCCCAGTTCCTAAGCAGTGAAGCACAGGGCTTGTTGCGTTCGCTCTTCAAAAGAAACCCTGCTAACAGGCTTGGTGAGTAATTTTTTTAAATGTGTTGCCTTCTAGAACAGAAGGGTGTCTATCTGCTTATTTTGTTTCTGTGCCATACTTTCTCAATGATTGCCAACATATTGCATGTTTCTGTTTTGAAGGATCTGGCGTAGATGGAGCAGAAGAGATAAAACGTCACCCATTCTTCTCTACCATAGACTGGAATGTACGTTTCATATTCAGTAAAGGCTTTATTTCTCCAGACCGTACATATGTATGTTTTTGAAAGGAGAAAGATTGTCTGGTTATGGGAGAACATACTCCGATATATTTAATTATCTGTTTTATTGATAACTAATCTGCCTTTGGGGTGGCTTATACCTTTTTATTAAAATCCTATATTTCATCCTTTGCATTTTTTTGTGCACTATGGCTTGGCATTTGTTAGAGAAGTTGGTTTTCGTTGTTATACAAGGAAATGCATCTGGATGGATGCAGCAATGAAGAATTGTCCTGTGTTCATGGACAAGGGAAATAAAATAGTAAAAAAAAAAAACTAACACACTTTTTGTTACACAAGATCATCTAATCAATCAATCAAGATTGGGTACTAGTATATACTGTAGATGGATCTAAAGCTATGTATGACTCTAAAAGATTATCCCTTCCTATAGACTACATGTTAATGCATGTTATATGATTTAGGATTTGTCATTTATAGCTTACACTAGAACTGTGCCATCTAGTGGCCAAGTTATTTTAGAAAGTCAAAAATATTTTGAATGGTGTTGCAATAAATACAGGAAAATAAGCGCTGGCTTGACCTTGTTTTGTGCAGTCAGAATTTATCAGACTCTGAGGAGCTGTAAATAGGTCCCTCTAGCATGAATAAATTAGAAGCAACTTTTATTTAATAAACAAAGGCTCTATGTTTCTGCATATGTTTATTCCAACAGAAATTGTACCGCAGAGAGATTAGCCCTCCCTTCAAACCTGCTGTCTCTCAGCCAGAAGACACCTATTACTTTGACACAGAATTCACCTCACGCACTCCAAAAGGTCAGTATCTTTTATTGGTAAATACAATTGGATTCTAATTATGAACAATGAGCAGCATCAGCTAGTAACAGATGGCTCCAGAACTCAAGAAAACACTTTGGATTTTGAAGGCTCATTAAAACAAACTTTTAAAGTGGTTATTGCATTATACATTAAAGGATAAGTTCACCTTTTAGTAATAGTGGGGGGGGGATGGAGAAGATCCCCCGCTAGCTGTCAAAGCTGGGAGTGGGGCGGAGTGGGGGGCTGGACTGATCGTAACATGTTACAGCCTGAATACGGGTGTAACATGTTACGAAAGGTAAACTTGTCCTTTAACCACTTGCCCTCCAAAGGATTTACCCCCCTTCCTGACCAGGCTAGTTTTTTGCGATATGGTGCTGAGTTACTTTAATTGACAATTGTGCGGTCATGCAACACTGCACCTAAATGAAATTTAAGTCCTTTCTTTTTCCACAAATAGAGCTTTCTTTCGGTGGTATTTGATCGCCTGCGTGTTTATTTTTTGCGCTATAAAAAAGAAAAAAGACCGACAATATTTTTGACTTTGCTATTAAACCTGTCCAGTGAAAAAATTTTTAAAAATCAATTTTCATCATAAATTTAGGCCAAAATGTATTCTGCTACATGTCTTTGCTTAAAAAAATCCCAATACATGTAAATTAATTGCTTTACGTAAAAGTTATAGTGTTTACAAATGGTGGTATATATACTGGAATTTATTTATTTTTTACTAGTAATGGTGTCGGTCAGCGACTTTTAGCAGGACTGCGGCGGGCTTTCTGACACTGGGGGGAACTGAATTGGTGTCACTGACATCCCCAGTGACATCAATACAGTGATCAGTGCTAATAAAAAGCACTGACACTATACTAATGGCACTGGGCAGGAAGAGGTTAATGTGGGGCAATCAAAGGGTTAACTGAGTCCTGTTTTACTATGGGAGCTGTGTGTGTTTCACTGTAAGCACTCTGCTTTGTATGCCCCCCCCACCTGGAACTTCAAAATCACTTATATATGTGATTTTGCGCACCCGTGCCACCCTGTAGCAGTATTTCTGCTATAGGGCGGCACAGAAGCAGTTAAACTTTCTGAGTATTGGAAGGCACACTTCCAGGGTACAGAGGTCCCCCACACCAAAGTTGTGTAGTAGTAGAAATGCTCTTTGCTATGCCTATTTTTAACTGATTTATTCATACCTTAGTGAAAGAATAGACATGATGTATTAGCAATTTACATAATCAGGAATGTTCAACAGAACAAAATGATTTTTTTTTCTTCAAACAATTCATGTAAAATAAACTCTAATGAACAAAAAAAAACTACCTATATACTGTACATAATGAGGGTAGGATAGCAGTGTTCAGTGGAACCAACTGAATTGGGTGAATTCTGCATTACCTTTTATATACATCAGTGCCTTTGCTCATTTATCATGTAAAACATGTATTGACATCTTTATTCATATGTAATATGTGGAAGGAATGTAACACTTTAGATTTGAAAATAAAATGTTTTATGTATGTTTTAAATAGATTTACTTATATGTATGGTGCTTGTGTGTTCATTTCTTAAATTCAGAGATTTTTTTCTCTATTACTGTTCCTGCCCTCGTGTCAATCATACTGTCATTTCCTGCTTGTATTTGCATGAGGCTAATCAAGTAGTAGCAGTAGATTGCCCATGTTTACTTCAGAGCATTTGCAACACTCATTAGGAATCTCCTGACATCCACTCAGGATGGAGGCATAATTTTCTTCTCAATTACCAGACTCCAGTCCCCTCTGAATTTTTTTCAGGTTACTGAAGGGAATACAGCATTCTTTTCCATACCTGGACATTTTTGAGCAAATAATGTTATCTTTAATTAAATGGTCCTTTAAAAATGAAGGTAAAAGACTTTTGGACTTTTACCAGACTGGATAATCACATCAGCTGCAGGGTCATATTTTTCCACCAATATTCACATGTAGAAAAAAGGATGAGATATGCAAAACTCTTTACTTCAAAAATTCATGTCCACAATATACAAAAAAAAAGAGCTTTTTTGTATATTTTGGACATGAATATTTACATAAAGAGTTTTGCCCACATGCGCACGCGCCCACATGCGCACGCGCCCACATGCGCACGCGCCCACATGCGCACGCGCCCACATGCGCACGCGCACACATGCACACGCGCACACATGTACACGCGCACACGAGCACACAGGAACACACACACACAGGAACACACACACACACAGGAACACACACACACAGTAACACACACACACAGGAACACACACACACAGGAACACACACAGGAACACAGCACACAGGAACACACGCACACAGGAACACACGCACACAGGAACACACACACACAGGAACACACACACACAGGAACACACACACACAGGAACACACACACACACGAACACAGACACACAGGAACACACACACACACACACGAACACACACACTATATATATTTTCATAGCTGTTCTTAAATAAACCAAAGGAACATGTAACAAATACAGCACTTCATGGCAAAGTGGGTATATATGAATCGGATATCATCCAAAATGGACAATTGCAGCTTCATGGTGTCACTTCAGATGAGTTGTCTTTTTTGTTTAACAGATTCTCCTGGAATACCCCCCAGTGCAGGAGCTCATCAGCTCTTCCGTGGATTTAGCTTTGTGGCTCCTCCTTTTGGTGGAGAAGACAGACCATCTTCTACCTCTCCTTCACTAGCTGTACCAAAGGTGACTGTTACATTTCCATATTATACCAGGTTTTCAGTTTTATAGCACTTGCCTTGTGCACATATGTGATACATTGTCTATGCTATTATTTCTGTACTTGTCTTATCTTCATTTTATTCCCTTCTTTACAAAGATGCTCAATAAGAACATTGCATTTGCTGACGTGTACACGCTGCGAGAGTCTATTGGTGTGGGGTCATACTCTGTGTGCAAGCGTTGTGTTCACAAGGGAACCAATATGGAATATGCTGTGAAGGTATTGAAAAATACTCAGCTGATGCTGTGTTGATATGGTACTTGTGTTAAAGCCCACCTTCTGCCAAAACATTGTATTTTTTTTTTTTATAGCGTTGAGAAGGATCAGAGCCTATTTGGGGTTTTTATTGCTGTGTCCCTTTTGGGGAGATATCTCATAGGGTACTTTCACACTGATCAGTTTTTCAGTTAAAAAAGTGGAAGAAAAATACATCTCTTTAAATCCTATGGAACTCTTCACGCTGGTCAGTTGCATTTTTTTTTTTTTTTTTTTAATGTCCAGCTTGCTGCATTTTTGGTACAAGTTTGGTGCATGTTTAAAACTGCACCAGAAAGGCACCTCTCCATTGAAATGCATTGAAAATGCATCAAAAACACACCCACGGCTGCATTTTTGGTATGTTTTTTGAATCACACGTTTCGGAAGTGAATGTTGATGTAAGGCAACCAGAAAACGCCGCAAAAATGCCCATGCGTTTTTACCGTGTTTTTTCAATGGAGCTGTGTGAAAGCAGCCTAATTAGAATGGAGAAGGGTGAGAACATTTGTGCTTTTATTTCCTGCTGATAACCACACCCCCATTTATTTCATTGGCATCAGATATTAGTAAGGGAAAAGCTCCCTAGTGAGATCACAGGCAGCAGTAAATTCTGAGAGAAGTCTTAACTTCTTCCCACTCTATTCTCCATTTTGTTTTGCGTTTTATGCAGGAATTTTAAGATACCTGTTATCTTTTTTTTTCCCCTTTTTTTTAATGTCATCACTTAACCTTTCCTCTCCTTGTATGTTTATTCTTCTGTCCATTGTCTCTCTGCTGCAGATAATTGACAAGTCCAAGAGGGATCCATCAGAAGAAATAGAGATTCTTCGCCGATATGGTCAGCATCCAAACATCATCACACTAAAGGATGTAAGTACCATGTTTGTCTATAATGTAATAAGGTATCTATTTCACATCAGCTGGAACCAGTGTTTATATCCTGATCTGGTATTTATATACAATCCCTAACAGGTATATGAAGAAGGGAATTCTATCTACCTTGTGACCGACCTTTTGAGAGGTGGAGAACTACTAGACAAGATTTTACGTCAGAAATTTTTCTCTGAGAGAGAGGCCTGTGCTGTTCTCCTTACAATTTGCAAGACTGTGGAATATCTGCACTCACAAGGCGTAAGTCATGCAGACAGTCCACAAAACTCATATCTTTCTTTGAAGATGTTAAATGTACAAGGCCTCTTGTTTTATCACAGTGCCATTTTGGTTTCTATATTACAGGTTGTTCACAGGGATCTAAAGCCAAGCAACATTCTATATGTTGATGAGTCTGGAAATCCGGAATCCATACGAATTTGCGATTTTGGGTTCGCAAAACAGCTGCGGGCGGAAAATGGATTACTAATGACCCCTTGTTACACAGCCAACTTTGTGGCCCCAGAGGTAATTAAATACATAGGATTTCTGGATGGGTATACATTTTACGTGGTTAAAGAGAAATATTGAAACTGTTAGGCTTTATCCTGTGTGTGAACTTTTAAAGTTGAAGCCAGTTCTAAAGAAGAAGCAAAATATTTAAAGCGGATTCACACTAGGTGCAGTGCGGTTTTGAGCTCCGATTTCAGTGCAAATTTAAAGTAATTGTTCAGCGCTGGTTCAGATGCAGTTCAGGACAGGATTTGAAGAGAGAAAATCATGCTGAAATCGTGTTCACAAACTAATGACGTGCAGTTTAAAAGTGGTTCCCGTAGAAGTCAATGAGCCTGAATTCACACCTGAACCGGATCGCACTGCTCATAAAACGTACAGGACACTTTTTGAATACCAGGTATCAGTCATCTCAGGGAATAGGAAATTGTGTAGTCATCAGCTACAAGTCTTGGGGGTTGTAGGGACCTAGGAAAGGAACATGGAAGTGTGAGGGGTACCACTGGTGAAAAAAAAAGGTACGAATTCCCCAAAATAGTACAAAATCTAACATTTCTTTACAGGCTAGGGGAGAGAAAATGTAAATAACTAAACTTTGGGTGAAGGTACTCTTTAAATACAACAGTAATATGCAGTTATATCTCAGACACCTTGAAAGCAATTATTTCTGTGCCATGCCTCCTTCACTACAACATGGTTACTGACAGTTTAGTTTACATACCGCAAAATAGTGGAAAATCTATTACATTGTTGAAGCAGCAATCTGTCCTAATTCAGGCCTGCTCGGCGTTGACATGCTAAGGAGGAGTAGCTATAGACAAGTTTATCTCCTAGATTGTAAGCTCCAAGGAGCAGGGCCCTCCTATCTCCCTCGTGTATTGAACTGTATTGTTGCTGTATTGTCTCCCTTTACAGTTGCAAGAAAAAGTATGTGAACCCCTTGGGATTACGTGGAGTTTTGCATGAATTGGGCATAAAATGTGCTCTGAACGTCATCTAAGTCACAACAATAGAAGAACACAGTCTGCTGAACATAATACCACACAAACATTAGATGTTGCCATGGTTTAATTGCACATAACATGTAAACATTCACAGTGCAGGGAGGAAAAAGTATGTGAGGCCCTAGCTTAATGACTTCTCCCAGAGCTAATTGGAGCCAGGAGTGAGCCAACCTTGACTCCAATCAGTGTGATGATATTGGATGTGTTGCTGACAGCTGTCCTGCCCTTAAAAAACACACACCTGTTTTGGGTTTATTGGTTTCAAGAAGCACTGTCTGATGTGAACCATGCCTCGCAGAAAAGAGCTCTTAGAAGACCTATGATCAAGAATTGTTGACTTGCATGAAGCTGGAAAGGGTTACAAAAGTATCTCCAAAAGCCTTGATGTTCATGTGTCCACGGTAAGACAGACTGTCTACAAATGGAGAAAGTTCAGCACTGTTGCTACTCTCCCTAGGCGTTTTCGTCCTGTAAAAATGACTGCAAGAGCACAGCTAAGAATGCTGCATGAGGTAAAGAAGAATCCCAGAGTGTCAGCTAAAGACCTACAGAAATCTCTGGCACATGCTGACATTTTTGTTGACACATCTACAATAAGGAAAATATTAAACAAGAATGGAGTACATGGGAGGACACCACGGAGGAAGCCATTACTGTCCAAAAAGAATATTGCAGCACGTTTGAAGTTTGCAAAAGAGCACCTGGATGTTCCACAGCACTACTGGCAAAATATACTGTGGACAGATGAAACCAAGATTGAGTTGTTTGGGAAGAACACACAACACTATGTGTGGAGAAAAAAAGGCACAGCACACCAACATCCAAAACTCATCCCCACTGTAAAACATGGCGGAGGGAGCATCATGGTTTGGGGCTGCTTTGCTGCCTCAGGGCCTGGACGGATTGTTGTCATTGATGGGAAAATGAATTCCAGAGTTTATCAAGACATTTTGCAGGAAACCGTACGACCATCTGTCCGCCAACTGAAGCTCCGCAGAGGATGGGTGATGCAACAGGACAATGACCCAAACCATACAAGTAATTCAACAAAACAATGGCTGCCACAGCACAGAATACGCCTTCTGGAGTGGCCCAGTCAGAGTCCTGACCTCAACCCAATTGAAATGCTATGGCATGACCTTAAGAGAGCGATTCACACCAGACATCCCAAGAATATTGCTACACTGAAACAGTTTTGTGAAGAGGAGTGGACCAAAATTACTCCAGATCGTTGTGCAGGTCTGATCTGCAAGTACAGGAAACGTTTGGTTGAGGTTATTGCTGCCAAAGGAGGGTCAACCAATTATTAAGTCCAAAGGTTCACATACTTTTTCCACCCTGCACTGTGAATGTTTACATGTTATGTGCAAAAAAACCATGGCAACATCTAATGTTTGTGTAGTATTATGATCAGCAGACTGTGTTCTTCTATTGTTGTGACTTAGATGACGTTCAGAGCACATTTTATGCCCAATTCATGCAAAACTCCACGTAGAGCAAACTGTTGGCACTATATAAATCCTTTTTTAATAATAATAATAATAATAATAATAATAATAATAATAATTTCCCCATAAATGCCTTCATATTTAACAGGCATTTAAAATTGCTGAAATAGAATTTTTTTTTTTTATGGCCAGTTTTATACGCAGAAAATACTTCGCTAAGATATTCTTAAAAGCATTTGCTCTCTTTCAAATGTTGCTAAAATGATGCAAAAGACATTATGGCAACTTTCTGACTTAGCAAGATCCATGGGTAGTTTCAACTCAACAAGAAACTTAGAGTGAAACCCAATGTAGATTATTCCCGACTGGTGAGTTATGAAGGATTATGAATAAAAGATATGTCCATGGTACTATGGATGCATAGCTCATAAACTGCCATATCCTATGAAGACTACTCAAAAAGTAATTGCAACCAAATGGACTTTATAGGCACTTAAACATCAAAATCTTGTAAAATCTTAATACTCTTTATTGACAAATCACATAGTTACAACAAGACAAATAATGATAGTTTCTAAAACATGATGCTAAATAAGTACCACAATTCCAACATAAAGAAATTGCTCCTCAATAATTGAGATCATTTAAAATCCTACTGTTCCTAAATGACCATATAACCCGAAAGGTATCAAAAAAATCGTGTTTGTTGAAAAATGTTTGAAATCGTGTGCAGAATCGCAGTGATTTTGCCTGAGATTCAAAACACCTATATGTGAAAGGAGTCTCAGACTTTTTTTTTTTTTTTAAAAGTACCTCTTTACTGGACAAAGGTGAAACTGCGTTTTACTTGGAGTATGGAAAGGCTGAGCGTATCCAACTAGGTAGGGACTGGTCTAGCACACAAGCAAGGGAAAAGCAAAGCAACATACCAAAGTACAAATGTTAAAAATAAAACCGACAATAACAAAGTGTTAAAATTCTAACATCTGCAATACTATGTTTTTTCCACATAGGAGAGTAAGCAGCCACCTTATCATAAAAATGATACCACACAGTATAATTTTTTAGAATAAATCAGAAGCAGAGTAAAAAAAAATTTTTTAAATGAATATAGAGTATATGACAAACACCAAGTAAGAATGATCCCATAATGTGATACAGCATGAAAACGAGTATAATAAGGGTTTATTAACTTCACATATGTAATAGTAGTAAATTCCTGGATGTCAATACAAAGGCCAGTAAATCAGCTGGGTGAAACTTGGTGACTGTAAAAGCTCCAAATCTTTTAAGACACTTGATCTCTCTTCATTCTGTATTGCAGCATTGAATGCTCAGAATGACAGCTGTATGGAAGGAGTGAATGCGAGTTAAAGACCGTCATTGCTTAATGAGAACAGGAAATAAGTTGTTTCTCTCTAACCATAAGTTTATCTAAACTGAGAAAAAAGAAACCCGCTAGAAAATTTTTTTTTTTTTTTTTCCCTTGCCCAGCTTTTTACTTTTGTGCTCTTGTATGTCTCAAAATATTTTTTTTTAATTTGAGCACTCAGTTGTTTACACAGTCTCCTCATGGCCCAAATAAAATAAATTCTTTAGCTGGCTGACATATAACCAAGGTTGCAAATGTTTCAAGTTTGTTTTCCTCAGTAAGACCACGTTTTGTAAAAGGAGTCCGGTGTGGTTTCATTCAGCGGTTCAGGTGCAATTCAGGTGTGATTTTATTTTTAAAGTGTATGATACTTGAAACCGGAACCTGTCTAAAAATCTTACTTGACTGAAAATCGCACATATGTGAACCAACTGGTTCAAAGTGCATCCAATTTACATATATGTGAACCAGGGCTAATCAAAGGCTTCACTTTCTGTTGTGTTTCCAAGACAGGAAGTCAAATAAATCTCCTCAATGAAACAATGACAGCAAAATAAAAATAAAAAAAAAAAAAAAAACCAAAACTGACAGATTCTAAAGTTGGCCATAGACATATTAAAATTTGGCCAGAGGAGTAGGGATCAGAGCTTGGCTTGTCTCTGCTCGGCAAAAGTCAGGTTTTTTTTATTGAATTCTGTCGAAGGAGAATGTTGTAAAATGTTTCTCGATCAGCAGCTGAAGGCGCTGATCAGGGTATTCTGACAGCAGCGTCAGCCACTGCCAGAATACAATTTCCTGGCTTTTGGGATTCCTCAATCTACCTCCTGTGTGTAGATGGAGGAATAAGGTTCCCCCCCCCCCCAAGCCTCTGGCTGCATGCAGAATTTACCAGCTTAATCATTCTCTACTCTATCTAGAATTTAAAAAAAAAAAAGTGTTTCCTTCAAATGCACTTTAAAGAGAACTTATGCCTTCCTAAATTGTCTGGCTGATGTCCTTCAAATTCAACCTGCTAAACTCCTGTAGTTTTGGCCCAAAGGACTGAAATACAGACAACCGTTTTACCACACAAAAAAAACAAAACACGCCAAACCTGATTCTTTTATTCGTTTGATTTCCCCGATCAAAATATTGTTCTGTTAACCTTTTTTAAATGCAACTTTGGTTTGAGTTTTAAGAAAAGCATCCAGT